TGTAACAGGATTTTGGAATGATGACCTCTAAAGTGTTTCCCCAGGCTAAAGAGGCCTAATGAGCAAATGTACACACATTTCCACCTATGACCAATGTATTTTGTGGGTTGTTTGATGTTGCTACTGATTAGATGCTATATTTAAAACACATCAAAATCACATTTTTGAAAATAAACCCATGTTTTCAAGAATCTGATGTGTACTTTATTTCCTGAAGTGTTAATGATTCACCCCAAAATTGTTTGTTTGATGTAGATCAGCTAAACAGCACTGAAACAGTGTGAAAAATGACCATGGAGTACATTTTCTCTCTCAAAGTGTTGAATAAACAGCTCTGCACAGTGACACTAAAAGACTGACTAAGAGTACATTTTAACTCTCTGAGGGTTCTAGGTTTACACTGCACATGTTGGAAAGCACTCAAACAGTGTCAAAAAAGTACCAGTTATAGTGTATATTTTGACTCCCAAAGTGTTCAAATCTGACTCTTTATTTGGAGTTTATATTTTACACTTTTGACAGTGTTCAGAGAACACCAAACTCTTGGACCTGTATACACCCCGAGACTGGTGTTAAATGTACTCTTATAGAGTACAATGTACACTGTGGTTTTCGCTGTGTATGTTTATTCATGAAAGAGTCAAAATGTTAAGAAATTAAAATGTACAAAATATTTACAATTAAAGATAATGAATCAGAATAAAGTCCCTACAGTAGTAGATACTGTAGGCTCCATTGGAACATCAAAGTTGCCAAACCAGGGTGATTGTATAAATATTACACGAGCATCATACTGATACCACATTGGATATAAATGTCAAAAAGTTCAATCAGGTCAGTATGGACCCTCAGTTGAATATTACAGTGATACAATTTAAACATACTCTTCAGTATCATAGAGAAATGTAACATGATTCAACATATCCTCATTCAACAGTTTTACACCCACTCCACAAAAATATTTTTAAACATGAAAAATTCGATACGAAGTCCACTTTATGCCTGCATTCTCAGGAAATAGATTTATTAGGGATGACTGCAGTTACACGTCTGCTTTTATAACCCGGAGCTCTGGGTGATGTTGGCGTTCTCCCTGTAGGCGAAGCAGCCGGGGAAGATGCCGATGTTTCCTGCACTGTGTCCCTCCAGCCACACCTCATTCACTAAGAGAGGTGAGAGCGACACATAAAGACTCACACTGGAACACAGAAGGAAGCAGTTCTATGACATGCACATTCAGTTTGAGGTTTACCCTGCTGTGCCTCACCTTCACCCAAGATGTCGATGGTGTCTCCTTCGCTGAACTCCAGGTCCTCTGGTCCCTGAGCAGTGTAGTCGTACAGCGCCACCATCTGGTGGAGGATAGAGCGGTTGGCCAAGGGGTCTTCTTTCTGAAGAAGCACAGTAAGGGGGTTAATCCTGTATTAGATTATTACTAAGAGAAATCATTCACTAAATTGAATTTGGGCAGGACACTTGCAAACACATTTTAAAGGATCCAATGCTAACATTGTTAGATAATTAAGTCAACCAATATATTGCAAACTACAAAATGATTCTATACCTCTATACCTTGGCATTTCAAATAATAAAAACAGGTATAGTTTCCATTGGTTACAGTATTGCTATATCATAGTATTCATTAGATCAGATCCTCACCTGACACCACAGGGTAACTCTGCCAGCCTCAGCCACATCTTGCACAGTACGGCCTGGCCCCCCCTCGCCCCCCAGAGGGATTAGCATCTGGGAGCCATGCTGCTTATATCTGATGACACAGTGTTATGGGTTATGGCTGAGGAATAGATGATATGTTGAGGGCATCAAAGGGGAAACATTGGTTTACAGATGATAGGAAAGAGTTGGAGCCATTAACAGCCTCTTGATATATGATGGATCAGACAGATATATTTGAGTTAAAGCATTATTTATTAAATATGGTTTTTAGAACTTATTATTTATTTTTATTTTTTTAACAACTTTATTTTTCTGTTCTTCAGAAATACAGTATGTCCAACATTTACGACAAAAAGTTGCAAACCCCCTCACATACCACCCCCCTCCCCCTCCCGGTGGTATTCCCCAATGTATAGACAAACATACGACAGAAAGATAAGTAAATAAATGAATGGTCTTAGAAATCAAATATAAAAAATATATAAAATTAAAAGTAACCAAAATAAATAAATACAACAAAATAATGATGACAATAGACAGTATTCGAGTAAATATTCAGATTTCAGGTCTCCCTTGAAAAAGAGATCAATGATCTCAATGGGATACACCTGGATAAATAAAGGTATGAAATGGAATGAATAATAAAACATCACATACATAACCCAAACAAAACATTTTAGTTTATGCTATTGTTATTGCCAGCCTTCTAAACCTCTAGTGGCATTGGGATATACTGTATATTTTTTAAATCCTCTGGAGTAGAGAGAGGAGCTGTGGATTATTGTTATTGATTAATGCATCAGTGTTTCTTAGGGTCAAAAACACTAAACTCACAACTTAAAATGAATTTAGTTTATTTAATAAAAGAGCATATGTTCAATGTGAAAAGTGACAGTAGTTATAGATTATTTGCAATTTGGTGCTATATATATATTTAAAAAAAAAAAATTACATATACAGTATTATATAACACCTTGAATTTCAGGGGGGGGGCGCGGGGCTCCGTTGGCGCCCCTCCAAGACAATGGTAGGGGAAACACTGGATATCTTTAATCAACGATAGAGTTTTCCCCCCCTCAAAGGTGATTGGTTCTCTGCATCCAGGTATTATTATGATTCGAAAAGTAACGGAGCGATTTTATCCGAGCCCAAACAACTTTGACCGGCCAAATTACGTCAGAATTATCAGCATTCAATACTTAACAGACCTACTAAATATCAGGTTTAACTGTCAGGAGTAGTGTTGTCACGATACCAACATTTTGGTTTCGATACCGATACCAAGTCAAGAATTGCGATTCCGATTCTTTTTCAATACTTTTCTTAAAAAAAGGGAAACAGTCTTAAATGTAATTATTGTGCTTTATTTCACACCAGAACCATAACACAAACTTTTAAACAATGAGAACAATAAATAAAATAAATGACAAGATTTCGTATTCAATAAAATTAATACATTTCTTACAGACAGGCCGTGGTGTCCGTAGGCTTGCCCTCACTGTCAGAGATATAGCTAAAATACATCAACATTTCACTTCTGGCGTCTTTTTTGTCAACAAGCTGAGGCGCAGTTGCACTCCCACTTGCAGCCATGCTTCTCGTTTTCTCACATGCTCTGGCAGCTAGCGCGTGCACGAGAGAGGGGAGGCGCTTGAGAGGGGCGGGACTGCAGGCACGGCTGCAGTGCAGGGATTGGAAGCAGAGCGCTGAACACACACGGCTCTTATTAAAACGGCGCATTGTCACTGGAGTACTTTCCCCCGTCATTCTTAAAGTACCGATACTAATGAAACGGAGTAATCGTAACGTTTTTAACGGCAGGGTATCGCGGTATACCTTGGTACACCGTGCAACACTAGTCAGGAGTCAGTGTCTCTCCCCCAAACTCACACATATACAACTCAATATGAACTGAAGAACCGCATGAAACTAGGCAAAGAGCCGCGTGCGGCTCGAGAGCCGCGGGTTGGCCACCCCTGCTGTAGTGTGACAAGGTACGTAAAAACTCCAAGCCCACAATCAAGGACCCCAGAGTGCCCAGGTCAAAAGTCAAAGAAAAATTGCAAAGTGAATCAGGTGAGGGATAGGCCTCTAACATGGGTAATAAATAGCGACCAAGTTTTGTCGTATTTGTAAATTAAACTGATATGCATATAACTGCATATACTGCATATGCATATAACTGCATATCTCAATTTGTTCAAGTCTGACTCCAGCATCACTGCCCTGATCCAATGAATATAGGAAGGGGGATTCTTTCCTTTCCAATTTAGCAGTATGAGACGGCGGGCATGCAACGACGCATAGGCAACCGCATTTTTGTGGAGGGAGGAGAACCCTAGTCCTGTGTCAACAGTTCCACAAATAGCTGTTTGAGGGTTAGGAAACAGTATCCTGTCAGATATTGCAGAGAGTGACCAAAACACAGGAGCTTCCTCTGTTTCCAGGCTTCCTCTGAGATAGAATCACCAATATCTCCTTCTCATGCATCTTTAGTTTTGTTCCATGTGGGAGGGCAGTTATTCAGAATCAATGTATATATTTTGGACACAGCCCCTTTATTAAATGGATTCACATTAAGAACTGAGTTAGCTAGGTCTTTAGAGGGTGGACAAGGATATCCTGGAAAATGTTTAGACGCAAAAGACAGAGCCTGGAGGTATCTAAAAAAGTGAGATTTTGGTATGTTGTGATCCCTACACAAGTGCGTAAAGGATGCAAAACTGTCTTCTTGAAAATAGAACAAGCCACTTCTATGCCAAACAGCAAATGCCATGTCCAAACGGGATGGTGATTAGACATTATTGGCGAAAAACTGCATATGCTTTTCAGATTCAAATGTTTCCTAAATTGACCCCAGATCTTAATTGAGTTTTGGACCACTGAGTTTGAGTTAAACTCGCTTACTTTAATATTCAATGGAAGGGGGGCAGTTAAAAATGAGATTGGGGGACTTCCGATTTACACATGAGGCGATAAGCAGCTAAAAAGAGGAGCTCCCGGCCGAATAAGTTAAAAAAGGAAGAAAACCCCTGTAAATGCAATCCGAAGTTGGAAGAATAGGTCATGAGCCAATCAGTAAGTAAGAAAGGAACGGAGAGAAAGACGAAAGTCGAAAAACTGTCGGGAGAGATGCAGGTCCAGATGGAACACAGTCAGCCGGCTAACGCTAAAGCTAGCAACGACGAGCAACCTAGCTGGGTGTCGGCGCTGCAGACTAGCTTAGATGCCATGCAGGCTAAACTCGAGAATGCCCAGCACAACATGGATGCTAAACTGGATCAAATTGGCAGCCAAATGGAAGAGAATCTAAGAGGAGTACGTGAAGAAATGGGACAACTGAGAGAATATATGGACAAACACGGAGAAGATATGAAGCAAGGACTTGATAGCTTCAGAGAGGAAACAAATAGAAACTTTGAGACCGCTGTGGCGGAGATGCGGGCCCAAAGAAGGATATTGAGATCTTAGAAGAGCGTACGGCTGGGGTCGAGGAGTGGAGTACCGACGTCCAGGACATTCTTACGGCCTCTCTTGAACAACAAACCAAGCTCCAAGATAAGTTGTCCGACCTAGAAGGGAGGTCGAGAAGAAATAATGTACACATTTGGGGGTTGAAGGAGGGAATAGAGGGAGACTCGGTCTCCGAGTAAGTCTACAGGTTAATTCACAAGGAGCTGGGAATGTTGGAGGATATTAAGTTGGAGATTCAAAGGATGCACAGGGCACTTACTCTAAAACCACAACCAGACAAACCCCCAAGAGCCATTATTTTCAACTTCTTGAGGTTCGAGGTCAAGGAGAACATCATCAAGACGGCCTGGCAAACGGTGATGGAAGTGAAGGGACGGAGAGTGACACTCGACCGCGATTACTCTGTGGAGGTGGCGGCTAAATGTCGGAAATATGCGGGGCTCAAGAGAATTCTCAAAGACAAGGGGATTCGGTTTCAATCTCCAATGGACACCCTGAGGGTTTACTGGAACGAAGGAACTATGGTGTATAAGAGTGCTCAAGACGCGGCGAGGGCGATGCGCTAGAGAAGCTGGCAGGTGCTGGACCCGGGAGAAGAGCGCAAGTGGACCAGACTTCGGAGACGAGAGCGGGGAGACAACAACGAGATGCGAGTGAGGGAGGACCGGCACCGTATTGGGGGTGTTGAGTAGTCTATAAGGGAACAAGATACGGCGTTGAAAACAATGAAAAGACAGAAGGATGAGAGGTGACACTGACGGGCCACGGTGATTAGAAAAAGACAGAGCACAGACACAAACAGATTTAACCAAATTACTTATAAACGCTATAGCCTTTTATTTTGTGCCCCGAAAATCATTTTGAAACACTGCAGTGATTGAGTAAGAAAGGTTGTTGTTCTATCTCACACAGTGGTGGAGCCCCGATGGATAAACGCCCTGTCGCCCTACAACATCGACCCACCACACTGCCCCTGACCGGCCTTTGGTTAACAGTCACTGCACCCCAACTTCCTATCATCCGGTTGTGACCATGGAGAAGTCGGGCCGCAGCTTACTTGGCTGGGTAGAGCATAATTGGTCTGAATAAGCCAGGACCATTTTGATTCCCCTACGTTGCATTATATTTCCCTTCAAAGCATCTTTTCGTTCCCTCCATGTCACAAAACACAATAGGTATAGTGGCAGCAACCACTAACCTAAACAAATACAAATTAAAACATCAAAACTTGGTCTTACAAGGTTTTCGGAGGTTTCAGAACTATCCCCCTTTCCCCCACTGGTGGGTGGGAGGTAAGGCCTCTCCTAATGAGAGGGCCCCCCCTAGTGGCGGAGATCTCTCCTGTGGCTGATCTCCCAAGCTCCTTATAATTGTCCAGCATTCAGTTTAAACTCCGGAGCTCCCGGCCGGAACTTTGTGAACATTTTTCATATGTGACCTGCTCCATCGAAATCAGTCGCAATGACCCGAAGACACATTTTGAGTTGTATACACTGTTGGAAAGAGGAGATTCATAGCTTTCTAATAATATCAGGATTGTTTTTGTACTCCAAATATTAAGCAAAATATGTCACATTATATAATGACTGTCACCGAGTCATCATTTTGAGAAAAAGGCCTTCA